AAAACAATTCATCCTTTATTTCTCTATCATTTTTGTGTTTTCAATTTCATTGGAGTTTTGCTCTTAGTTCTATTCCTCTACTTGAGTTTATTTTGTTCTTTTCCTAGATTTTTGAAGAAGCAACTTAAATTATTGGGATTTTTTTTTTTAAGTGTGTGTACATTTAATACTGAATTTCCCTCTCAGAACTGTGTGCCACAGATTGTAATCGGTTGGCTCTTTTTTTCACTTTGAATCAATTCAATGTTGTGTTTTCATTTTTCTTGAGACCTCGTTTTCCACACATGAGTTCTTTAGAACTGAGTTACTTTGTTTCCAGGTGTTTGGAGCCTTTGTTGCTGGTTAACTTTCTGTTCCTATCCATTGTGTATATGGATAGTTTGCACACTCTGTGTGACTTCAGTTTTTCAGTTTCTTTAGGTTTGTTTGGGGACCAAGATATGATCTATCTTGATTGAGTTTTTCTTCATCCTTTCTGATCTTTTTCTTTTTAATCATTTTATTAGGGGCTCATACAACTCTTATCACAATCCATACATATATCAATTGTGTAAAGCAGCTTTCTGATTTTCTATCTAATCCTGAGTAAAAGCACATGCTGTATCAGAACCAGCCTAGAAAATGGCCAAATCTCAAAGGTGCTTAAGTTTTGAGGGGAGTCTCCATGGGATGAGGCTGTTCTATGCCGTTATTTGGTTTTAGAGGCTGGAAATTGGAGTAATAAGGTGGCTTAGGTCTCAGATCCAGCTAATTAAGCATCTGGGTGGTGTTTACAGTGTAAACACACTCCTGTGGGAATCAGCAAGGACCTTAAAGATCTGTGAACATATTTTTCATTGACCAGGCATAAATGAATGCAGAGGGGTCATATTGTTTGGTGGGTTTAATTTAGTTTGGTCTTGACACTGGTCGTAGTTTTAACTCAGTTGTCTATCTGTGACCCTGGGAAACAGGCCTAGTTGGAGCTCTTTATTTTGTAAGAAATCAAAATGACAAGGCACTTTCTCTGGCAAGAAGATGTGATGAGCGATATCTCTCTTCTCCCAGCTAATCATTCTTTATATTGTGTTACCTCAAGAAGGGAGCAGGTGCGGTGGTGGCGCTGTGGGTTGAGCCTTGGGTTGCTAACCATGAAGTGGGTGGTGCAGGCCCCCCAGCTGCTCTGCAGGAGAAAGATGAGGCTACCTGCTCCCATAAAGATTTATAGTTTTAGAAGTCGAAAGTGAATCCGTTGGCAGTGAGTTTAAAGAGGGAAGCAACTTCAGTTCCTGAAATTTTAATTACCAGGGTGGGGGTAATAACACTAGATAGAACCTTTTTTAATATTTAAACAACATTTGCTGCTTTCTGATTATAAAAGTAATCCGAAAGGCAGTAGCACAATTAAAGGGTCCCTGGATGGTGCAGTTTTCACTTGGCTACTAATCAAAAGGTTGGCAGTTCAAACCCACACTGCAGCATTGCAGAAGAAACACGGGAGATCTGCTTCCAGAAAGATTACAGTCAGAGAAACCAAATGGCACGCAGTTCTACTCTGTAGCACAATTCTTAAAAAACTTAACTGCCACCGAGTTTCTTCCAACACTTAGTGACCCTATAGGACAGAGGAGAACTGTTCCTTAGGATTTCCAAGACTTTTAAATTTTTATGGGAGCAGACAGACTCATCTTCCTTCTGTGGAGTGACTGGTGGATGCGAACTACAGACTTGGCAGTTAGTAGTTAAGTGCTTAACCAACAATACCACTAGGGCTCCTTACTCAATTACCATGGATTAGAACATACAGACTGAGCACACTGGCATTGAATTTGTTACAAGCCCAGCTCTCATACATACTCGGCTAGGCAAGTATCTCTGTAAGCTTGGGTTTCCTTTTCTACAAAATGGGGGAAAGTTGTAGAAGTTAAATATGAGGCTTAAATAAAATAATGCCAGTAAAACACTTAAAACAGACTCCAGGCTCTCTGCTCTTCCTCGTGTGATAGACAGCCGCCTCTCCCATTCCCGTGCAGTCCCAGCCGCATCCCGGAGACACGATGGTGAAGGTTGGTCGGAGTGAACGGATTTGGCAGCATTGTGGGCACCTGGTCACCAGGGCTGATTTCAATTCTGGCAAAGTGGTTATTGTTGCCATCAGTGACCCCTTCATTGATCTGAACTACATGGTCTACATGTTCCAGTATGATTCCACCCATGGCAAGTTCAATGGCACTGTCAAGGCTGAGAATGGGAAGCTTATGGTCAGTGGGAAGGCCATCTCCATCTTCCAGGAGCGAGATCCCGCCAACATCAAGTGGGCTGAGGCTGGTGCTGAGTATATCGTAGAGTCCACTGGTGTCTTCACCACCATAGAGAAGGCTGGGGCTCACTTGAAGGGCAGTGCCAAAAGGGTGATCATCTCTGCCCCTTCTGCCAACGCCCCCATGTTTGCGATGGGCATGAACCACGAGAAGTAATGACAACTCCCTTAAGATTGTCAGCAATGCCTCCTGCACAACCAACTGCTTAGCCCCCCTGGCCAAGGTCATCCATGACAATTTTGGCATCGTGGAAGGGCTCATGACCACAGTCCATGCCATCACTGCCACCCAGAAGACCGTAGATGGCCCCTCTGGGAAACTCTGGCATGTTGGCCGTGGGGCTGCTCAGAACATCATCCCCGCATTTACTGGCGCTGCCTAGGCTGTGGGCAAGGTTATCCCAGAGCTGAATGGGAAACTGACTGGCATGGCCTTCCGTGTCCTCACCCCCCAATGTGTCCATCGTGGAGCTCACCTGCTGTGTGGAGAAAGCTGCCAAGTACTATGACATTAAGAAGGTGGTGAAGCAGGTGGCCGATGGTCCCCTAAAGGGCATCCTGGGCTACATTGAGGACCAAGTTGTCTCCTGTGACTTCAACAGTGACCCCCACTCTTCCACCTTTGATGCTGGGGCTGGCATTGCCCTCAACGACCACTTTGTCAAGCTCATTTCCTGGTATGACAATGAATTTGGCTACAGCAACAGAGTGGTGGACCTCATGGTCCACGTGGCCTCCATGGAATAAGAGCCCCCCTGGATCACCAGCCCCAGCAACAGCACTAGAGGAAGAGAGGCTCTCAACTGCTGGGGAGTCTTTGCCCCTAATTCAATCCCCCAACACACTGAGAATATTCCATCCAGACCCCCTGAAGGTAGGGGAGGGGCTTAGAGAACTCGACCTTGTCATGTACCATCAATAAAGTGTACTGTACCCAGAAAAAAAGATTCCAGTTTAACAGATTTTAAAAGCTCACTGTTTTTACTACCATTTTAATTGTTGAAAATAATATTAAATATATAAAATTGACAGCTGCAAGCAACTGTTAACATTTTGATGTGTTCTTTTTCTTTTTTTCTTTTTTTTTTTTTAAAAGCGGCTCATACAACTGTTATCACAATCCATACACACATCAATTGTGTAAAGCGCATTTGTACATCATTCTCAAAACATTTTCTCTCCACTCAAATCCCCGACATTAGGTCCTCATTTTTCCCCTCCCTCATGAGCCCTTGATAGTTCATAAATTGGTATTTTGTCATATCTTGCCCTGTCCAACGTCTCCCTTCACCCACTTTTCTGTTGTCTGTCCCCCAGGGAGGAGGTCACATATAGTTCCTTGTAATTGGTTCCCTCTTTCCTACCCACTCTCCCTTTACCCTCCCTGTTTCGCCACTCACACCACTGGTCCTGTAGGGCTCATCCGCCCTGGATTCCCTGGATTTCCAGTTGCTGTACCAGTGTACCTCCTCTGGTCTAGCCAGACATGCAAGGTCGAATTCAAGTCATGGTAGTGGGAGTGGGGAGGAAACATTTAGGAACTAGAGGAAGATTGTATTTCTCATCATTGTTACATCGCACCCTGACTGGCTCATCTCCTCCCTGAGACCCCTCTGCAAGGGGATCTCCAGTGGCCTACTAATGGGCTTTGGATCTCCACTCCGCACTCCCCCCCATCATTCACTATGGTAAGATTTTTTGTTCTGATGATGCCTTATACCTGATCCCTTCGACACCTCTTTTTCAAACTTTTTTCTTTGTGGTTCTACATGTATACATATAAATGTATCTGTGTTTGTATAGATCATACATAAGCCCATTGCCACTTAGTTGATTCCGACTTACAGCAACCTTTTAGCACAGAGAACTGCTCCTTAGGGTTTCCAAGGCTATCATCATGATGGAAGCAGACGACCTCATCTTTTTCCTGCCCAGCACTGATGGGTTAGAACTGCCAGCTTTTGGCTAGCAACCAAGTGCCCAACCATGGTCCCACCAGAACTCCTTAGATCATACATACACATGCCTAATATGTACAAATACACACATACGCATATGTGCACACACCATCATGTTTCACTTTTTACAAAATTGAAATCATATTTCAAATACAATTTATATCCTACTTAATTTGTCATCATATCTTTATATTTTTCTTGACATTTCAAATGTTTTGAAAATACAGATTTTCATGGTCTCATAACATTATACCATAGAACTCTAGTGATTTAATAATTATCTCTTTGTAAGATTTCTAAGTTTCTTCTTTTGGGGGCGGGGGGCATTTAAAAACTATTGCTGATAAAGGCTAAGTTAAGAATTTAAAAGTTTGAAAAATCAAGAATTGCCAACACACACACACACACACACACCGCATTTCTTTGAAGTTGGAATTTTCCATGGTCATAGATTACTGTCATTATTTCAGTAAAATACCTTTTAGGGAATGAATACAACTTACAGAGCTATTTCTGTAGCCTTTCCAACCTTGGGCTAGTACCAGGTACCAAGTAAGCCTCAATATTTGTAGGTGATCAATGGTAAGCATATTAATATTTCGTCAATCATATTTGTTTCTCGTCAATCATTTGTTTCAACTTATAAGAAATCATTGACTTCTATTTGATTACAAAAGTAATGCAACTTTGGTTTTTGGTCATCATACCTAATTCTTTTTTCCATTCTTTTTCTTCTCTCTCAGTTCATCCATGAGCTCGGATTTCCCACATTACAACTTCAGGATGCCCAACATTGGATTCCAGAATCTGCCTCTCAACATATATATTGTGGTTTTTGGCACTGCTATATTTGTCTTCATCCTGAGCTTACTCTTCTGTTGCTACTTGATTAGGTAATTGATTTCCATTATTTGTTATTTCAAATATATTTTAAGCAGTCAGAAAATCAATTATCTTCCCTTGGATTCAGCAAAAGGTTTGTAAGTATAATCATGAGTGCGATTTCTAAAATTAAGGGGTAGCTTAGCGTTTTAATTCTCGGTAAATACTAATGAGTAAAACACCTTTATTTAATCGTTAATCCCATCTAATGATAGTATTTTACTCCATAGGAGACATTTGCCCACAGTTTTCCCACATTATTAACACCTGGTCCAAATGGTTATAACATTGCTTTTCCCACTGATTTAACTGCTGTCCCTGGTTTTGAAGGTGTTAGCTAAAGTCATTAGGTCCCAAAGACAAAGACCAAGCCTTTAAACAATGTCCTGGTCTCTTAAGAAGGAGTTCTGGTGGTGCTCTGGCCTGAGCTGGACAACAGTTCAGTGGCAGTGGCTTGGGGTTGTTTGGGGTTTGGGTTTTTTTTTGGGGGGGTGGTATCTCAGGATTTTAAGTTTCCATTAGTTCGTCAAATTGATCAGATTTTCAGGTGATTGGTTATATGCAAATACCACTAAAAATCCGCAAGCTCTACAGCACATGGTTTCTGATTTTCTGACAAATAATTTGGTATTCACCATAGAAAAGTGTTTTCTGGTGTTACAGCTCTTTTAGAATTTGTCTAGCACGTTTTCTGGTTGTTGTTTTTTTAAGCCCTCCCCACCACCAAAAAAGAAAAAAGAAAAGTCATTTCTAAATTCTCACAAAAGTCTTATATAGATATATTGGCTGCTTATGATTTTCAGATTTTGCTCAGAAAAAAAATATTTGAGACTAATACAACTATAGTAGTAACAGGGAAAGTTTTTTAAAAATCTGTTTTTTTCTAGAATTTCTCATTTCCCTTTGTTGCAGTTAGCATCCATGAAGCTCCCTGTGTTCCAGGGGTAGCGTTGCCCCAGAGGGTCCCGTGCTGTCCTCTGGACCTTTCTTCCATAGAGCAGCTGGCTGGGTTTGATCCACCAACCTTTAGGTTAGCAACCAATCACAAACTCCTTGTGCCATCCAGTCTTCATGGGACTGAATATTTTCATGAATTTGATTCAAGTACATTTTTCAAAAGTCATAGTTTAATCATTGTTTTATAAATATTCAACATTTCTTTTTAAAATAGGGGATCAACCATGGTATAAGCAGGAAGGACCTCAAGCATTAAACCAAATTCCTGTTTTCAGACCTGCTTTATTTCTTGATCATTTCCCTACAAATAGTATTCAATGTGTGGATTTAATATTTTAAATCAAAATTTTTTACAGAGTACAAAAATAATAGCAAAATATAATAAAGAGAAAATACTCATTAAGGATTGATGTGTGCCATCAAGTCGATTCTGCTACATGACAGAGTAGAACGCCCTCATTGGGCTCCTAGTCTGAAAGTAAGCTGGATGGGAGCAGATTGCCAGGTCTTTCTTCCACGGAGCCACTCGTGGGTTTGAACCACCAACCTTTCCACCAGTCACCTGAAAGAAGGATTAACATTCATAAGATATGTAATCCTAGAATGTATGATTCTTGCAATAGCTTTGTTTCATCTTTGTGGTGATGGTGTTTTATTATAACAAAGATTTAAGTTTTAATTATTTTTCCAAGAACATTAATTTACCAATTGAGATTCTGAGTTAATTATTTTGAAACATATTATGAAACTTTTTAAATTCTGTTTTAATATGCAAATAAGGCTTAAGTATTGAGATAAAATAATAATAATTCTTTTCATTCATTATCATTGGACTTAATTTTCTCACCCAAGCTAATAAAGTAAAAAATACACTAAAATACAATTATATATAATCAGAAAAGCCGGTGTTCAAACATTTGTATACTTCTCTTCCCAATCATTGGCAACATCTTTTAAGTTTTAACCTTGATCTTTCCTTTTCTGGTGATTCTACTTTGTGCCCTTTAGTCCTTCAAATGTTAAGCTTGAATTTAACAAATTATTTATAATCCCTTTGGTGATCCCTGGGTTCAGTTCCTCCAAAATTACCTAAACCCATTTTTTAAATATAACCTACTAGCACCTTCAAATGTATTGTGTTGGACAAATATGCCTCAAAAATTTGAGGACTAAGGTGCACCTGACCCAAATCATGGTATTTTTAATCACCTTAAATGCGTATAAAAGCTGGACAGTGCATAAGGAAGAGCGCAAAATTGATGCATTAGGGTGCTGGCGAAGAATATTGAAAATGCCATGTGTGTCAGAAGAACAAAGAAATCTGTCTTGACAAAAGTCTGGCCAGAATACTCCTGAGAAGCAAGGGTTATAAGACTTCTTTCACAGATTTGGGGCATGCAATCAGGAGGGACCAGTCCCCAGAGGAGAACATCATAGCTGGTAGAGGGTCAGCGAAAAAGAGAAGGACTCAACAGAATGGACTGACACAGTGATTGCAACATTGGACTCAAACATAGCAACAACTGTGCAATGACATTGGACCTGGGCAGTGATTTGTTCTGTTGTGCATAGGATCACTATGAGTTGGAACCAACTCAATAGCACTTAACAACAACAAATAGCACCTTCTTGGTGGCTTAGTGGGTTATACATTGGGCTGTTAACCCCAAGGTCAGCAGATCAAAACCACCAGCCCCTCAGCTGAAGAAAGATGAGGCTCTCTACTCCTGTAAAGATTTACAGCTTCAGAAACTCAAATGAGCAGTTCTACTCTGTCCTGTAGGGTCACCATGAATCAGAATCAGCTCAATGGCAGAGAGCTTGAGTTTGAGTACCTTCCGTCAGTCAGAATTGTAGGAGAAGAACACCTTAGGTCCAGCAAGACACCCACCACCAACCCGACTTTTACACAACACTATCCGGAGTCAGTTGAATGCTACAACAAACATATAATATTCTAATTTATGATTATTGTTCTTCTCTTTCCTGAAATGGGCATTTATCTGTTTTCTCTTCTGTATCCCAAACACCCAGTACCTGGCACAATATTAGGCACTCAGTAAATATTTATTAGGTGAATAAGTGAATGGTTTCTAGGTTCAAGTAAATAAATATGCATAGACTGAAAAGTTGTTATGTAGCAACACAAGCAGGTTATTTAGAGACATGGAACTAAATAGCAAAATAAATGGGTAAAAGGGGGAAAAATGGTTTTCTTTGAAGAAGAGCAGAAGATGGCTGTTCTGTTACTAACCTTTTAGAAGTAGACATGATTTTTAAATGTATAAATTATAACTCAGCTATGATTAAAATAAATAAAAGTAGAGAACATTTTTAATTGGTTACCTAATAGAAATTATAAGGTCTTGAACCAAGATAATGACAGTGGATTGAGATGAAAGAGGAGAGTATGTTTTGATTGTGACAAATATTAGGGTAGGGAAAATGCACAGAAATTGGTGATGAGTGTAAAGACAAGAGAAGGATGAATTTAGACTCTTTCCTGAGCTTCTGGGTTAGGCAGCTGGGATTGCCCAGGTAGCAATTCCTTCACAGTGATAGGAAATGCATTGGCAAATTCAAGGTGGAGGGATGCAGGATTCTATTTTAGACAAGGCAAAACTGAGTTCCCTATGTGAGAGAGATGTTTTGTTCCTGAATGCTTCCTCACCCCCCCCCACCCCACCCCCCATCATGACCCCAATTCTACCTTACAAATCTGGCTAGACCAGGGGATGTACACTGGTACAGATAGGAACTGGAAACACAGGGAATCCAGGACAGATGATCCCTTCAGGACCAGTGGTGAGAATGGCGATACCAGGAGGGTGGAGGGAAGGTGGGGTATAAAGGGGAAACCAATTACAAGGATCTACATATAACCTCCTCCCTTGGGGGACAGACAACAGAAAAGTGGGTGAAGGGAGACATCGGACAGTGCAAGATATGACAAAATAATAATTTATAAACTATCAAGGGTTCATGAGGGAGGGGAGAGTGGAGAGGGAGGGGAAAATGAGGAGCTGATGCCAGGGAGAGCAAATGTTTTGAGAATGATGAGGGCAGCGAATGTACAAATGTGCTTGACACAATGGATGTATGTATGGATTGTGATAAAAGTTGTATGTGCCCCTAATAAAATGATTTTTTTTAATTAAGAGAAAGAAAAAAAAGAGGTTTTGATGTTTTGTTGAAGATATGAGTCTACAATGTACAAAAAGTCTGATCTAGAAATAGTTTGTACATGACTAGGTGTAACTGCAGCCCAGAGTATCCCTTAGGGAGAATATTAGATTGAAATCAAATGGATCTGGGACAAACTCTAGGGAAAACTGATATTGAAAAAGAGCCTAGAAGAGAATCTGGAATAGGAGAAAAGGCTTGAGAGGAGTCCCATAAAAAGGGGTTCAATGGATGAAAGCAGTTGTGTCAGCTGCTGCTCCCCAGGAGACCCAGAAAAATAAGGATAGAGAAGTGCCTGTTGCAGGGAACAGTGAGGTTCGTGTCGATGCCTTAGTTAGGACAGTTTCAGTAGCAGGAGGCAGAGGATGATGGAAGACAGGCTCCAATAGGACAAGGCTGGACCAACCAGTGAGAAAATGGGAGTAAGAAATAGCACCTCTTCATAGAAGAGTCCTGGCCTGAGAAAAGATTAGATTGGAAGTGGGGGTAAAGGAGAAATTGGTAAGAAGGGACACATCCAAGAAAGATAAAGAATAAAACTCAAATCAAACTCAGTGTCATCGAAATGATTCTGACTCTTCAGATAGTAGAATTTCCCCTGTGGGTTTTCAAGACTAAATCTTTATAGGAGTAGAAAACCTCATTTTTCTCCCCATTCTTCTAAAACAGAGATAAAGGTAACTAAGGAGCCCTGCTGGTGCTGTGGACTAGGCATTGGACTGCCAACCTCAACATCTGAGGTTCAAACCCACCAGCCACTCCAAGGGAGAAAGATGAGGCTTTCCACTCCTGTAAAGATTTACAGTCTCAGAAACCTTATGTGGGGTTAGAAGGCAGTGGGTTTGGTTGGGTTTGATAAAGGGCGATGCATGTGTAGGTATGTGCATTGGGAGCTGGAAAATTACATACCTGACATTGGGGAAAAAAACACATTTTTTCTGTAGAGTAAAATATGTAGTTGACAATAATGGGGAGAGATTGATATTAAGCTTGGAAATAGTGGCAAGTTTGAAGTGACCACTGTGTGGACGATTAGGATGCTGAGCAATGAGAAAAACCTGAGAAGGGAGACCACAGATTTGTAGGGGACACAAACTATGATGTGGCTTTATCCTTTTCTCCAGCACTGTTCAGTGTTGTTCACTCAACATTTATTAAGCATTTTGTATAGTGCCAGATGATGACCCCCATCAGGTTGGAAGGCACTCAAAATATAGCTGAGAAAATGCTGCCTTCTCAGAGTAGAACGGACCTTCATGGTGTAGATGGAGTAAAGCCTTCTTGACCTTCATTTGCTGATGGGGCATGACTCAAAACGAAAATAAACCACTGGAAAGCATCTATTAATAATAGGAACTTAGAATGTACAAAATATGAATCTTGAGAAAATTGTCAGAAATGAGCTGGAACACATAAAGATCAGTAATCCAGGTGTATTAGTGAACTGAAATGGACTGGTTTGAATCAGAAAAGCATATGGTTTATGATGCCAGGAGTGGCAGACTCAAGGGGCATGGTGTCACCTTCTTCATCAAAAAGGGTGTTTCAAAAATCTGTCTTGAAGCACAATGCTGTCAGTGATAGAATGATATCTATGTGCTACAAGGAAATCCAAGCATTACAACTGTTCAGATTTGCACATCAACCACTAATTATCTCGGGGTCAAACAACCTGCAAGACTTACTCTAGAAGAGGCTGATGGAGGCACAGACAGAGAGAGCACTGTGACTCCTGGGGCTGATAAGGAAGCTAAGGCTGGGGGTGAATCAGCAACTGAATTCAGTTTAGAGTCAGATTGGTTCGTGGACATGGTCAGCCCCTTAGTAAAGTAGGAAGGTACTGTTGGTGTTGAATAAGCCTTTAGCCAGAAGGAAATAAACAAATTCATATGTAAGAAAGACCGAAAATGAATGATTTAAGGTTTTCTTTCATGAAGCTCAAAACAAAAAAACCAGCCAATTCAACCCAAAGGATAGGAAGAAGAAGAAATTTTAAAGCTAAGCATATAAGCCATGATAGAAAATAAATGTATACCAGATAAATCCATGAGCCCAAAAAGCTGGTTCTTTAGAAAGATTACTAGTGTTGATGAATTCCAGGAAAACCGATCAAGAAAAAGAGAGCGGAAACATAAATTAGTCATATCAGAAATGCCAAAGAGAACATCACTACAATATTATAAGATTATAAGAGGATATTATGAACAACTTCATTCCAGTAAATTTGAAGTTAGTAAGATTTCTGGAGGAAATCGGTTTGTTGTTAGGTGGCATCAAATCAGTTCCAACCCATAATGACCCTGTGCACACAGAGTGAAGCACCCAGTCCTGCGCAAGATATGGTTTATCAAAGTTGATGGAATAGACTCACTGACTCACTCTCACTCTCTCACTGTCTCACTCATTCACTCACTCACTGTCTCACTCACTCACTCGCTGACTCACTCTCACTCACTCACTGTCTCTCTCACTCACTGACTCGCTCTCACTCACTCACTGTCACTCACTGACTCACTCTCACTCACTGTCTCACTCACTCACTCACTCACTGACTCACTCACTCACTCACTCACTCACTCACTGACTCACTCTCACTCACTCACTGACTCACTCTCACTCACTCACTGTCTCTCACTCACTCACTGTCTCACTCACTCACTGTCTCACTCTCACTCACTCACTGTCTCTCACTCACTCACTGTCTCACTGACTCACTCACTCACTGTCTCATTCACTCACTGACCCCCCCAAAAAAAAGAACACAGTTGGTGGAATAAATAGCAAACATGAATAATTATACATCTAATAAGATAATTGGATGTGTTATTAAAATATTCCCACAAAGAAACTGGAAGTCAGGCAACCTCGCCAGTGAATTCCAACAAACATTTAAAGAATAAATTAGTTTTACATGATTTTTTCTATGGAAGGCAAGAAAATACTTATCAACTCATCTAATGATGGGGCCAGCATAACTTTGGTACCCAACCTGACAAGGGTGTTATAAGAAAAGAAATTAGAAATTGAAACTATCTCCGGAGGTCACTGTTAGCTACATAACAGAGTGGCTCACAGGTAATAGGGTATATTACCTGTGAATAGGGCACTCCTTTGTGAAATCATCCGAATGAGGCCAGTTGTCAACATCTATTTCAAAGATGGGAAAGTAAATGAGGTGGGAGGGTAGGGAAGCTAGATTACAGGAAGTAACTAGAACAAAAATAGTGACAGTGTTCACACATTGTGAAGAATGTAACCAATCTGCATAGAACCTGTTACCAAAAGCAATATTTTTTTTAAAGAAAAAAAAAGGAATGATAGGCCAGTCTCTCATGAATAAAATATTAGTAAATCCTATTCAAGAATGTACCAAAAAGGACAGTACGCCACACCCTCGTGTGGTTTGTTCCAGGAATGAAGCTTACCTTCAAAAATCAGTCATACATTATACCACATTATTAATAAAAGAGGACAAAATATGTGGGAAACTAAGAATAGAATGTCTTCTATCTGATTAAAGGTATCCACAAAGAACCCAAAAAAACCCTCATAGGCCATAGTGACTACTGGTAGTTTTCCTCTTAGAATTGAAATGAGATAAGAGCACTGATATTATCACCCCTTCTCTTTAGCTCTGTACTGGAGGTTATGCCAGTGCAAAAAAAAGAGAGTGAAAATGTAAAATGATAAAAGCAAAGAAATAAAGGTGTGAAATATATTTAGGCTATAAAGTCAAAAATTAGACGCATTTTCAGACAAGTTTGTATACATTTAAAAATCTGAAAGATTCTATCGGTAAACAATTAGAATTACTAACTGAACTTTAAAAAGTCACTTGATACAGGGTCAGTAAAAATTTTTTTCCTTATTGTAAAAACGAACCATTTGAATATTAAAATTATTTAAATATTACTTAGAGTACCCAAACGCACTGCCATTGAATCGATTCCAACTTAAAGTGACTCTCTATAGGATTTCAAGACAATCTTTATGGGAGCAGTCAACCTCATCTTTTTCCCACCGACTTTGCAGTTAGCTGTCCAGTGCCTAACACACAGCAACAACAGGGATCATTAAAAAATACCAGATACCTAGGAAGAAATCTAATTAAAAATAACTAAAACCTCTATGGCAAAATATATAGAAAGAAATTAAAGCACATCTCAGTAGAGAATTTTTTTTTAATTTTTTTTTCTCAGTAGAGAATTACACTACGTTTATGCATTAGAAAACTCAATCTTGTAAAAAAGTTCAGTTCTCTTTTACTTGATGTGTAAATTCCATGCAATCTCAGTCAAAATCCCAAGTTTTTGTTTTGCTGTGGAAATCAACAAGCTCATGAAAGGTATAGGGGGATACAGAGGAACAAAATTAACCAAGAGAGTCATTAAGAAGAACAAAGCTTGAGAACTGACACTGCCAGGTGTCAAAATTCGTTGTTCAGTCATATGACAGTAAAGCAATGTCTGGAGACTTCACTTCATGCCCAGCTCTTGTTTCTAAGTACTCTTCTCCAATAAAAAAAACCAGGATTCCTTAGAAGTGGTTGGTCTCAGGACAGGGGCAGGGAAAAACAATGAGCTTGGAACAACTTGAGGTGGACCATAAGTAAGGAAATGCTTGGAAAAGAAGAGGGACTTTTGGAAAGGATTTAGGAGTGCCTACAGGCCATAGCTAAATCTATAAGCAACAAAATAATCATCATTTTGAATTCTAAGCCATAGACCAAAATAAACACGAGTCCCTCCTAATAGAAATTAACAATTTAAGAGATCATGGAGCGGGGACCCCCTCCTTCCATAAGCATTTCAATTAATAAATGTATAAGAAATTGAAATTTTAAAAACTTGAGGAAAAAACAAGGTTTTTCCATAGTTTCAACATCTCTCTCTCAAAATAGTCCAGAAGAGGAAGTATTAGCTTTGCAATGAGAAACTGTACCTAAATGACCATGGTTAAATGTCACAGGCTTGAAAGACAGGAAAGACCTGTACTGTAACAGAGTAGAGAAGACTTAGGAGACATAACAACGAAGTGCAAGGTCGGATCATAGGCGGGAGCGGGATATTAATGGGAAACATCAGTCTGTAGTTCCTTAATGTTGTATCGGTGTTAGTTTCCTATTGCACATTGACACCTGGGTAGATAAATAATCAAAGGAACAGAATAGAAACACTAGAAATGACCCCACAGAACAAATTTACCTGATTTATAAAGTACATGCTACTGCATTACAGTAGAGAAAGGAAAGTCTTTTCAATAAATGATGGTAAGTCAAATAAAAATCTGTATAGAGGTAAAAAGAACCTTGGCCCCTATTTCACATAAAGATCAATTTCAGATGAACCCTAGCCACAACTCATTCGGTATCCAGAAGTATCAACAAGTTTGTGGGGAAAATGTAATTAAAATATCATGGAATTTTTCCATGGACTTTTTGAAGCGTCCCTGTATGTTATTTCTCAAGTTATTTTGGTATCTCATTGCTCATTTCTATCTTTTAGGCTAAGACATCAAGCACACAAAGAATTTTATGCCTACAAACAGGTACGATATACTTCAGATTAGCTTTGGCTGTGGTTGGGTCTCCCTCTGCCCCCAGCCCCACCCCATCCCGCAAAAAGATATCTGTTCAGATATTAAACTGGGGCAGGATTTACTCATGTTCAGTTTAGAATTTCATTTTCCAGCTTGCAGTACAAGCCAGATCGGATTCACTTTCTTAAACGCCCCTTCTTAAGTATTATTTGAAACTTCAGAAAGGTCAGGTGATATCATTTAAATGTTAGCCAACATTTGCTAAAATGCCGCTGCAGCTTGTAATCGTTGAAGCTATCATGACATTCAGAAACCCCGTTGAATGGATTTTTTACTTCCTTTTCCATTACAAGAAATGCTCCTCTAGCTCATGGTCCTACATGCCTCACCGCTAACACTTACCCCATTGTCTTCTCCCTTCACTGGTTTCTTTTTTAAGTTAATAAACTTGGCTTTTATGGCAGTCCAAGGAAAATTTGTGCTTTCTTCCTGTATGTCCCCCATGAATACCAAACAGTGGGCCAACATGTTCCTCGGTTCCCTTTTGACCCTAAACATAAAGTTATTTCTGCTGCCCTTAGCTTTTAAAATCTTTTTCTTTTTTAACGTTTCATCCTATTTGAATTTTTAACCTTGCTGACACTGATATTATAGTCCATGTCACAATTTCAAGATTATGTCTCTTTTTATATTTTTAGAGATCTGAATTCATTAGCAAATTCCCTAGCTGTGCACACTGATGGGGTCCTCAAGTAAAACCCCCCCACTCCCTTGCTTCCCTGTAGGTCTCATGTAGGATTCCAAGTCAGAGTGGGATGTTACCTTTTCCTAAATGAATCTTTTTGTTGTTCTTTCTTGTCTCAGTCATAATCTTGCCTACAAGATGACTCTATGTAGACTACCTAGAAAGTAAAATTGGTCTCGGTAGTCATTTTCAGGATAACACCGACTAGGAGAGGTAATCAAGTCAGAAAACAGATAGTAAATATGAGCTTTGAACTATACCAAATTAGAAATTTAGTAGAGCCCTAAGCAGCTGGAAGATCGCCTCTGATTATGACTTCTGAAAAGGTGATTTGCCCTCCAAATCATGTCAGGTAAGATCCCCGATCGTGAAGCAGGCTGTAAGACTCCCAAACTTTAGAGGTTGCCTTCAAATTTCACTTGCCTGATTTTTCGCTTCAAAATGACACACAACCCTACTGACTTAGGTGTATTCTTCGGGGCAGGGCAAGGAATCTTTTTAAACAGTGTCACTTATCACCAAGTGAAATGTTGTAACTGATGTCCAGTTTTCACAGAACCATGCCAGGGCAGCACCTGGATGGATTTTAAACCTATTACCATAACTCTGGGTAGAGCCAAAGTTCACTGAGGATCAAACCCACTGACAGTGAGTCACTCCCTGCTCATCACCCGCCACCCTAGAGGGGGTTTCTGAACGGGTAAATCTGTACAGGAGCAGACCGTTCCATCCCGTGCTCCGCCAACAGTGCCGTCTACTGAGCACAGTGATGCATACCAACAACACATGATGGAGTGTGCTTTTCATGTTTAATCCATTACTGACCCATCAGGCCCAGCAACCTGTTCTCCATTTACTGGCTCATGAGGCAACTGACTTGGTTTCCTTGTTTAGTTTCACTTAGTCTAGATGGGCATATGGAAACACCTTTCCTCACATTTTTCTATTATCAAAGAGATATGAAAATTACTTCTCAGGAGGATATTACATCATTGCTTAAATGTTGTTGTTCTTTTCCTTAAGAGAATATTTTGTCACTCAAACTATAATAGAGATTCTTTCCACTACTGAATATGAACAAAAATGAGCTGTGTGCACAAAAGAAAAATATTGTGATTATGAGAAACTTTCCAAATCACACGTATTTTTGTCTTGCAGGTTATATTAAAAGAAAAAGTAAAAGAACTAAATTTGCATGAGGTAAGTTGATAGAAGGAAAATGCTCTTACATTTCAACAATTTTTTAAATCAAATATCAAAAATACCAACCTTCATAGAATATGTGAGGATGAGATCACATAAAAGTCAAATGTGTGAAGGTCATTACAGAGCAGATATGTAGAGTACCTATTTTTAATAGGGATGGGGCCAAGTATAAGGTTTCATAGCAGCAGAGATGCTGTTTACTGCCCATGCTATAGGAAGAGGAGATAGATACAAGGAGACTTCAAAAAGTTCATGGAAAAATCCCATTATATATCCTAATTACATATTTCCATGAACTTTGTGAAGGCCCCTAATATAAGTGAATTTTCTGCTCAGAGGAATTTATACTCATTTCACTTTTGAAAATGTTCCTAGTGTTCCCTTCTTACCAGTGCAAACAAGGTAGTGGTTATATCCTAAGGGCGTTGAATGTGTTGGGTGAGGCAGAAGGATGGATTAGAGGAAGAACACATAGGTTGAGATGTGAATTCTCGGCATTTTCTATTAGGTCAAGTGATTGCTTCACGAGTAGTCCTTATGCTTCATAACGTAATACAAACACATGTGCTTGTGATTGTGTGTGTGGGTGTGTACGCATGTTCCCTCCAGCCTATGACCCCATCCTGTAATCTGTAAGAATTTCTTCTCTTTGTAAGTTTTGCCTCTGACTACAAATGCTTAGGATATATATTTCTTTTCTTTTTTTAAATCATTTTATTGGGGGCTTGTACAGCTCTTATCACAATCCATACATACATTCATTGTGTCAAGCACATTTGTACATATGTTGCCATCATCATTTTCCAAACATTTTCTTTTTACTTGAGCCCTTGGTATCAGCTCATTTTTTCTTCTCTCCCCACCCCCCCCCCCATGAACCCTTGAGAATTTATAAATTGGTGAAGGGAGACATAAATCAGAGTAAGACATAAAAAATAATAATTTATGTTAATTTTTTAAGTTAGTTTGTTATTGACAAACTCCTTGGTATCTTTTTCTCCTCTTTTGCCTTCTTTGCCTGTTTTTCATCAGAGTTGCTGTGTGTGTTACGATGTAGCAGCACTTTAAACCTACCCTTATATTGAAACTGCATGTTTAAACAAACATCGATTATGGTTTGATTCTTTCTTGTTTGCCCAAAGTTCAGTTTGGCATGTGGTCACGGTAAGCATGAAGCAGTAGAGAGTGACCCTTTTTCTGCTAGGAATCTTTCTGATGACAAGATTAACTTCTGACATGAATTAGCAAGGTTCTTTAGGAGCAAGTCTTCCTTGACGATTTGACCAATTAGTTTAGAATTTTTCATCCTGAATAAGTATATTACATTGCATATCAATATGTATCAGACAGTATCACAACTGCACCTACCAACTCTAGCTGTGTTGAGTATACAAACACACACACACACACACACACACACACACACTTCAGACTAAAGCTAGGAAAACCCAACCTTGTTATTTCTATATATCAGCATGGGTCTCCCTCCCAACTTCATTAAGTCCTCTTCTCACATAACTATTTTGCTAAGTTTTTTCTATGTGTGTGCATTCCTAACCACAGTGATTGATAGCTAGTTACTTAATAAACTTGTTGAATTTTAATATAGATAGTGTTGCCAGTTTATAATTATAATAGTGAAAAATAAGAGACAAGCCAAATCCTCACCAGTGGTGGAGTGAATAAATAAAACATAATGAAAACTTATTTACTTAAATATAAAAAGTTAATAAAGAAAACATAATACAGTGATTAACACAGTGAAGTATCATGCCAAAGCCACAATTAAGAAGCATGCTCTGTCTATAAGTATATCAACCTGGGTAGATCTCAAGCAAGATCTTAAACAAAATAAGTTGCAAAATGATAGATATATACAAGGCAGCTTCAAAATTTTGTGTGAAAACTCCATTTTTTCAAAGCCTTTTGAAGCCTCCTCATATATTACATGTGTATAGACTAACACACCACACTGCTCATGGAAGTATATGCAGGGTGCTTTACTGAGTCTTATAAGGATGCATAATAATCACACTGAGTAGAAAAGAAGAGGAAAAGAATTGCCAGAAGTTGATCAAAGAGGACAAGAATTTTAAAGAAATATCTTCTCAAAACCCACAGTCTTCTCTATCTTTTCCACCCATATTTTAATAGAGTCATAGATTTTAGAGGTGCTTCTCTCTCGTCTAAGAGAAACAGCAGAGCACTAGTACAAGCAGGATAATAAATGGCAACTGAGGGAGTCTCAGTGTCAATAAAGACAGAAAGGTGCTATGTGAACCGCGACCAACTAGGCCATGCAGCTCCCATGTAAAGGTGTTGCCACCACTCAGCTCTACCTAATAGTTGTGATGGGAGAATACAGGCTACCTAGTGCTAGATCTTGTGAGTCTTTCCAAGAGATAGCTTAAAGCAGCGGTTCTCAACCTGAGGGTCAAACGACCCTTTCACAGGGGTCGCCTAAGACCATAGGAAAACACATATTTCCGATGGTCTTAGGAACCAAGACATGGCTCCTCTATCAGTCTCCAGGCAGGCCCACCCACATGCAGATATGCCCACATACGATTACCCGGCTTGAAGACTGTTACCCATGCTACACCATGCTTCAAGACAAAATTTCATTGGGAGAATTGACATCTTTACTCTACTCTATTTGTCATTCGAAATAAATATTTCACACTATAGAATTACATATTGTTGCAGTAGCAGCAGCAGCCAGCAGCAGCAGCAAAGGGTCTGTGTTGCTAAGAGGCTTTGGGTCTCTTTCTCTCCTCCTCTCACAGCCGAAGAGGAGGAGGGTGGAGGGGACTCGGGAGGGAGGCGAGTGGAGGGGTGAGGGTAGGAGTCGTGGATTGGGGGGTGGGTGTTCGAAGAAGAAACTCCTTCTCTCTCAGGCTCAATCCCCCTCACAGGGCTCCGGGCTGGAGGGTGGGGGAAGGAACTCAGTCGCCTTCCCCCCACCCCCCCTCAATTCAAGGTTGAAGTGGGGTAAAATTAGTGTCCTGTCCCTTTAAAAATAGAAATAAAAGGTCCCCCCCCTCTGCCACTGTCTCTCTCTTCATCATCAGCTGCTGCTGCTGCTGGGGTCTCTCTGCTTGGGGGGGAGGGGGGGTTCGGGTAGAAGAGATGGGAGGCACTCACTGCGCATGTCCCTCTCTGATGGGAGGCTGGTTGGTTGAGGGTAAGAGGAGGGGGAGGGGAGGAAATGAGATGGTTTCCCAGAAGGCTCTGGGACGCTCGTGACCCGGAAGACATTGTAGCAGGGGGTAGAGGGGCGGGGGCGGGGATAAGGAGGAAGTCGTTACTCTTTAACTCCACCAGACCCCTCCTCTGACCTAAAGGAAAGTGGAGGAGCGGAAGTGGGCGTGGATAGAGGAAAAAAGATCACGTGTTAGGGCGTGAAGGGGGTTGGGTGGGAGGGGCGGTGCGTGCGCAGGGCATGCCGGGACTGGTTACGTCCTGTGGCCGCTTCAGGTGAAGTCAAACCTGAGTACGCTGTGAGGCGATCCTGACAAGCAGTTTTGTCCCTGGGTTCCTGTCTCTGCCTTGGTAAGCAGGATTTTCTGCGAGAGGTGAATATGATAGTTTGGCGTTAGAAAGACAAGGAACGCCAGCGTCGAAAAGCGAATCGAGAGGGGGAGGATGGAAACTGGGAATGCCTGAATGGGACAGGCCTTTCTAGGCCACACAGGCCAGGATCGAGCCGACTCATTGGGCTTCTTGGCCTCCTGATGAGGCTGCCGGCGAAGCTCTGACGAATGTAGGGCCTTCTGAGGAGGTTCGATTACGGCCGGGTAACGACTACTCCCGGCGGTGGATGGGTGTGAAGAAATGGGATCTTTAGGGTTTCGGGAGATGGGGGGCCCAGTCCACGGATGGAGACTAGTCCGTGTGTGATTTTCGGACCCGCTTCTGGTACCAAAATGTATTGCTTGAATTCCCTCGCAGTCATCCTTGAGAATTCTGCAGTCTTTGAAGGAAAGGCCATGTAGCGAATTCAGGAATGGAATAGCTTGTATTGCTACTACAGCTCAACGCTTATCCCTAATGTCGTAGAGGGATACTGGGCTTATGTAGTCCTTGAACAATGAGTTTTATAGTTATTAAAAATAGATGCTACATCAAT